ACCTAAGATATAATTTTGGCACGCTGCTGTGAGTGAGTAAGGCACACAAAACCTGTTTATTTGGGTATGAACATAATCCTTGAACTATTGTCAGGGGGTAACCCAGTTACGTGGTGACGCCTTGAACAATACACACATATTTTTGGTACAGTGATTGATATCCTCATGGAGGTGAGCTTGATTAGACTGTAGTATTTCATCAGCACTGAATAGCATATATTTAATTTTTCTAGTCGTTTACTATAACGTCCTAATTTGAGAATCGAATATGACTAAAGTAGACAAAATGCTTAGATGTGGTAGTATTGCATATTTTTGCCATTTGGTTTCATACCTGACCCAGGATGCTTTGAGCCTAATGTGCAAGCCTTGTTTGTGCTGGCGCTTACCGCACCCTTTAGCATTGTTTTGTCCTTTCCTCAGCCGTTTGTCTCTCCACGCGTTTTTCCATACCAAGCATTTTCACATACCTAGGGATTCATCTTTTCTGAATGAGGCTGTTGGTGGCATGACTTCGAATGAGACGTTTCTCTCTTTTTATCTCATACTCTCCTGTAACCAATGCACGTTCATCGCTTGCAATCACTTTTTATGCATGTGTCCGTGCTCTTCAAAAATAAACAGTAGTCAGTTGTAGTAACCGGGTTTTCGGCTCGCTAATAGATGACGACGAAACAATTAAAATTACTGCACAGGTTCATTACAAAGCATGCTGTTTGCATACAAAAGTTCTTTGGTATCACGTGTACGATTTCTTGTTTGAAAATGTCAGACTGCTCACACACATGCAGCTGGTCACTGTGGTGTTGATGACATTATCATTTTTCAACTTTCTATACATTCAGCATGCCCTGATCCACCCACAAATCGACGCTTAGAAAAGCGTTGCACTGTTCACTACTATCGCATTCATGATTTGTACCCTGAAACCAGTTGTAACTTTCGTGTGCACCTTCCCAACCTACAAGTATCCTGCTATAAACTGCACAGTCATGCGCAGAGTGATATTGCGTGCATTTCAGCAACAATTGATGTTTCTGGCAAAAGACAGTAAAAGAGTTACTTATGTTTCCACTATCTTCATGGGTTTTTTAGTGAAACTAATTCAACTGAACGGAAAACTGAAGTTTTAGATCGTTTGCAAATCTGCAGGTGGGAGTTCGTATTACTCAAAGGAGTTCCAACTCATGGTATTGCGAACTAACTTCAACTTAATTAGAATAAACGCCTTGCGTCTCTTGTAGTTTCTGGAAAATGTGGAAATAAGAACAGACCGCCCATTAAAACACTCGGATACCCACATGCGATGAAAAACTGACCTAAATCGAATTGACACGAAAAACATCTTGGTCATGCTGGATCGTCAAAACGTGATTCCGGCGTACATCTCAATAGGTTAACAAACATCTGTTTGTTGGTCCCTGAGTTTCCATATGCTTTGGTACGCTATGTATTAAAATCCAAGAATGCGGAATTGTGTAAAATATTGGTGGGTTGAATTCATTGGCCATGTAACCGCTGAGCTGTTCACCGAGCTTCGCAAATGGCCTGCAAGCGTTTTTCATACTGGACGAGACATTGTCGATACTTGCTTGGAAAAAATGTTCCTTTACTCCTACTCGTACTTATACATTTTCTAAAAAGTACTTTGTATCTGCAGCACGATTGTTTGTATAGAGATGGTCTACCATGTGATGTTGTTGGTCCTTCTGGCGTTTTTTTGTACTGTAGTGTAATACTCTTTCATCTCGCTGATTTGCTGAGTATTCCCATCTTATTTCTTCCATTGCGACTGGTTTATCTTCACATTTTTTGTGTTTCGAACACTACAGCAAATGGCTATCTGAATCGTACTACTCAATAAACAATCACCTGTACCAGATTATCATACCTTAACGCGAAATTGATACCGAATTAAACACTGGTGAATTAGTATATTAACAATCACTTTGCGGACAGGAGAAATATCTTATCTTAGCATTAACTACGGCCTGTAAACGTGCACAAACTTTTGCAAACCAGTTACCAAGCTCGCCGGGCAAATAAACAACCACTTATCAACAGGTCGTAGGCATTCTCACTGTGTCAATCCATAGCGTTCCATTTGATCGTTGCATTTCTGTCCATTATTAACTGAGGAACCTGGCAACATCATTCCCGGGTATGGTGACAAAATACTTCACGTTTCAGCCCAGTTGGTCAAAGCAAATCTTTGACATAGTGTTGACAACATGGCTTTTGTTGTCTTGGTAAGTGTTCCGCACTACACTTAGCCGAGTGACTTTTGTGGTATTCATAAAAAACTACTACTGTTATCCCACTGAGTATGTTAGAACAACTCTATTAGGTGTTCGGCGAGTTAAAAGTAAGCCGTATACTGAACGCGCGATGTTGTATTCCTTCCTTAAAGTGTTTTGTAACAAGACGTTTATCGTTTATACTGAAAAAACGCTCCCGAACAAATGAAGTCATGTAGGGTTTCCCAAATAAATGATCGTGAATTGTGCTTCAAACGTTGGCGGATAATCTAGGCTATGCTTTTCATTGCAATAATAAAATACACTACACAATTTGACCGTTATATTTATATTATATATGGAGCAGCACAGCAATCTTTGAACATCAATAATGCAGCGTATACTAATAAAATGAAGCTAACGTACTGATACGCGCACTAGTACCCACTAGATTACAGAAATTCTGTGAATTCCGTCCACAAAGTGTTTTGCTAAAATTAGCTTGTTCCTAATTCAAAAACGTGAAGCACACATCTTCAAATAACCGAGCAATTACTTTGTCAGGGCTGGTAAAAGTCAATAAAATTTCGAAGATATAAGTTACGGATCAGTAACCGCGTCACCATGTTAAGTTTTGTTTCGAAAACTGCTGATTCGACACTGAAATGCCCTGGTGGGTCCGCACACCTACAGCATGCGCATTTCAAGTGAGCAGTATCCAGTTAGACCATGACTCAATTATATATTTATAAGGCCACACCAACGTACCCCTCTCCACATAAACACTGACGAGACAAACTTGAAGAGTATTCTTTCTCCGTATCGCCAGCCACCGTCCACTCAATGGCTCCGCACACCGGATGGTAGCCGTTTGACCACGAATTTCGCTATCATTGGATGAAGAACAGTACTGAAAGGATGGCGAGCTCCACGAAAGTGACGGTTTCATGCTTGGAGGTTCCGTCTGACTCAGATCCTGCTTCGAGTTATCAAGCCCTGTGACAACAAATGCTTCTACCTCCACCAAGTTGTCTGAAAACAGATGAGAATTTTCTATGACTTTGCAATATTTCGGATTAGCTTATCGTCTATGCCTAAATGTGTTTTACCCCACAACATTTCCAAAATAACTCTAAGAACTAATAAAAATTGTTAAAAGTCATCGGTTGTCGTCTTTTACTTCAAACAATGGGTTGGGAGATGACATGCACTGAGTCATTGAACAAGCAAACCGCTATACAAAACTGCACCTACGTCACCTGTGGCGTATGCGTGACATCAGCTTCTCTGTCAAGGGCCGAGTTTACAAAGCTGCAGTGCTCTCCATATTACTATATAGATCAGAAACCTGGCCGCAGCGCGCTGAGGACGTAAAAAGACCTTCAGTGTTTAACTACCGATGTCTTCGGAGCATTGACCGAATCTGGCGGGAACACTGGATCGTTGAATGTTATTCGGGAGAAAAAACGCACCCTCGATAGATGAACTGATCAAACTGCATAGGTTGCGCTGGTTTGGCCACGTGCTACGTATGCCAGTCGACCGATTTTATCGAAGGGCTCTTTTCGGACAACCATGTAAAGCCAGACCCCGTCAAACATTGACTTGGCAGGAAAGTATGTAAGCCATTACCATCAAACTCATCTGCACTGGTCACTGCCGTCCTCCTGGATGAGAACCCAGAGACGGGCCACGTAAATGGTTAGAGACATTGTCAGACATGGCCCAGTCGCGCCCTCAATGGCGCTCGTGCATCCAAGCTAGTGCGTTCAACGCATAGCTCTCTTCCCAACTCCTCTTCTTGATAGTCCTCTGACAACGCTGAAATTATGCACCAATTTATCAGCTCCCGCCTCAAACGCGCAGCTACCTCCCCCCAAATCATCTCTGAACGAAACTGTGGCAGCTACAACTGTACAAAGAGTATGCGGTTATTACAGCTGACAATGATGACAAAATGATAATCATAACTGCAAATACACACCACAATCGGTTTTTGGAAGCGCGCACTTAGACTCAGCTTACATTGTGCAGTTAGCCTTCAATACAGTAGTGACTGTGGCTATAGCACTATATCTCCATCATACAGCCCAGTATATTGGAAATTAGCTTTAGAATGTATATGATATTGCGACATCATGTCGCCATTTTCGAACCTTCCAATATATCATAACGTTTTATTTAAAGCTTAAATTTCTCAATAATTTAAGTAATAATCTTTTAGAAATTGGAGTAATTAATTTATTTTCTGTAAAAAAGCTAAAACATCTTAAAACGAGAACCATCATGGAAAAGTAAACCACCTGATCATTGTTTAGAAATCTTAGACACAAATTAGATGAGATTTATGTTAAAAGAAGCATGGGAATCAGTACCACATACACACTTGTTAAGCACTAATTATCATTTCTCCCGATTTATTTATATTTTCTTTTGTTTATCAATCGACATTGGCCACCACAGCCCAACCTAAACTGACTTGCACACGCGGGTTTACACAGCCCACTCCAGAGGCTTGCATGAAATCTGTACGATCAAGCATCTGAAATCTATATCACGGTAGAATTGTTAAGGGAAATTGAGATTCGGGAACTTAACTCCATCAGAGAACAACTATTTGGGGCGTTTTGTTGAGCTAAGGAAACCTTTAGAGACAAATTAATATCTATCTCCTCATTTAAACAGAACCATTCTGTTCATGACGGTGCTTTGTAAAAGGCGTTGAATTTAATGAAATCTACAGGAGTGCGACATTTTCTGACTGCACTTTTCTGGACCCAAATCAGCTAACATCTTGGCCATCTAAATCTCCCAGTACTAAAGCCAAAAAAACAAGGCGACCTGGTTAGTTTACTACCCTGCATTTCGCTAATCCGTCTGCAGCTTTACAAAACAAATCCGCAGGACAGGCCGATATTATGCCTTAGAAATGACCTGACTAACACTTATCTGATTAGGACAAATGTACAACATATTTTGGGCTTCAAATGACCACTGCAGATTTACTTATGTTGATTGCAATACATCCACTTGTTACAGGCGGTTTGGTTGGCTTCACTTGGTTACTTGCTTTTCTGTTGAAAATTCAATATTTAGTGAAAACTTCCCGATTAAAAAAAATAACTTTTTGTTCACTAACTTCGGCCCAAACGTTTTTGTCTAAACTTCTGCTGCTGCATGCTGTACTCATTTAGCGAATGTTACTTTTAACGTGGATGCACATTTTGGGTTGTTGGAAAATGAAGTAGGCAGTAAAGTTTTGGACTCTTTAAATTCTCTATACAAACCCATTGTTTCAACAGCTACAGTGCAACTTTTGAATGAGAAGTAATAATGGTTAATGAAGTGATTTTAAGATTATCAAATTTGTGTAACTGACATCAAGCACAGTGGCAAGCAACCCTAAATTTGTTCGAATTTTACGAACCACGCATTGTCTTTAATACTCGATATCCTTGAGTGGTGAATGTGGATACTTGTAACAGTGTGGTAACTCACGACTTATACAAGACAGATTTCACAGAAATCATTTACCTGATTACCACCAAAAATCTTAATATTTAGCTTCTACACAGAATATTCCACACAGATGGAGTCATTGTAAACGTTTGTTTCGAGCTGCCTAGATTTCAAATAACAGAATAAACCAGTAGAAACATTCCTGTAATCATCTGTTTTCGCAGTTACTTGATAATATTAGTCTGACGCGAGACTAAACTGAGTTTTGGGCCAATTATTATTTTTATCCCTTGTGTTTATATCCCTCAGGTTTTCAGTTTTTGTCTTCACCATCACCAATTAAACAGCACAACGTTTTGCCTAATCCTTACGTTTTGATGAACGGAATGCCAGCACAAATTGTGTCGTCAAAAGTTTGTTTTGTGCGTAGCTTTCTAATGGTTGGGAGGATGAAGAACGAGTCTGTATGCACCACGTCAGTTCAAATCGCCACGTTAGCTGTGGGGAGACAATTTCCAATCATCAACAATACATAGTACCTATAAGGTTTAATTATTTCAAAGTGCAAAATAAAAAAATCTCGTAATTTTCTGTCTGCCAGGTTTGGAAAATTGTCCGCTTTGCGTGAACTGAAAACGTGAAAATTATGCACTGAATTTTATGGTAAAACAAATAATGCTAACAGTAAACATCTGCTATGCATATCCACCTGTCCGTCCTGAAAATATATCGCTCTCCGGCTCACCAAATGACTGAGTATCGGTGGTATCCTAAACAGCTGCATTTGGTATTTCACTAAATGATCGTTGTTGAACCTCTCGTCAGTGGCAAACGTCGGCTGGATATGAGCACCAATGTTACTGCTCCTATGGAAAACAAAGCGATTCACTTATTTGCTTGAATATTCCCACAGCTACAACAAAAGGACAATGACAAACACTAACGTATTTAAGATCTTGTCGCCACTTATTGGCCACTTAACTGGAAGTTACGGAAACACAAACGACTGACCTTATGTACAACCTAGATCTCATCTGAGTGCGTGCTGTGAGGTCGTCCAGATGGCCGTTTAACGGCCGGTCTATTCGTGTCACATCCCATCGCTTAAGAGACTCGGCGGTTTTAACGGCATGATTACAGATTTACCAATCAAATCGCTTCTTCTTCTGGTGTGATCAGGCAACGCCTTTGGAACCCAAAAACGCAAAAAAACATTAAAGTACTGATTTTGAGTTTTGGCCTTCATTGCTCTTATAATCGTTCTTTATTTCTGGCGGTGACGTTAAATTATAAGCATTTTATCTCTGGGTCAAATGTAACTCAAACTTTGTAAGCGCATGCTGGAAGAGGGTTACACCACGGAAAATAGGATCAATGAAAATAACTGTGCCGTCTTTTATTTTGTGTGTTGCAAAGAAATGATCCTTAATTCGATCAATGTTTGATATGCGTTGGAGCATAAGCGCTATCAATCGCCCGGACTGCTTTTCATTATTTAATGATGACCCTCCTGGAATACAGTATGAGTTGGAGATTTCCGTTTAAATTCAGATTGGCGCTATCGAGTTATTTTATCTCTTTACCCCAAACCTAGTTTAGATGCCGCACTTTTTTGCGGGAGTTAGAAACAAAAGTTGGCAGGCGGATTAAGCTGACGAAGCTTTACAGTGAAAACGTCTTGAAAAGAAATGGTGCTTGCAATATAGTTTTGCTGCAACCGGTCAAACGTCTAGAATACCAGCTGACATTTATTATGCGAGGACGGAATAGGCATGTGCTTGAGATTTCCTGAGGTCAGGCGAATTGAAAATTGCCTTTTGCGCACTCACAGCTTTTTTCAAAGCACGCGTAATTTCTCTTGCATATTTATAGACCGTAAATGAAATGTCTAGTAAACTGTCCCTCTTGAGCGCATGCTGCTGCCTTCTGTTCTTACCGCTCAGCTAAACTTCCTATGTCGGTTGACTCAATTAGAGTGATCTCCTCAATGAAGTTGGTGGCAATTCCACCGACGGAGTGTTAGATGAAGTAATATCTAGGTGCGTTTGCCTTCCTGCTATTCTAAACTTTAAGCATATTGTTCCTAATCGCACTTGTTTATTAATTAGTGCTTAGGTTTTTGCAGTCTTCCTTTTTTCTGTTCTTTGCAACCAGAATTGGTTGCAAAAGTGCGGCTGTCAATGATGATGACGGATGTACTTTATCAAATTTTCAAAAGTATGTTTAACTCTGCCCGCTGTGTTTAGCGGAGGTCCTATGTGGATGATAGAGATCAGCGTCATGTCTTGTAGAATATTGGTGGAACCGTGTAGTGCTGAAGATTTTATCGTCATTTCGTTGATGTTTATGTTCTACTCCGCTTAGCGACCCGGTGTGGAACATTACCGTCAAATTAGCTAGAGTGCACTATTTAACCCTACTTAGAAATCAAAGTCGAGACTAAAGAAGACGATCATTTGAACTGAAAACTGAAAACAAAAATCTGCCTGCAACAAGGCATCAAGTGCTATACTTTTGTGCTGAAAAATTTCGACTGCATCCATGCACCGATATACCGGAATTCTGTACGAGGTATGTCGTTTTTAGCTACGATGTACCCTTGTAAATGCAGAACAACCTATTCTATGAAGAAAAATGCCATCAACCTATGGCTAAGCACATTGATATCTAAGAAACATCATGAAATCACAGCCCGCATTTGAGAAAACTGCTGATTGAAACGCCAATCCAGCAGTGTCAAAAGTTCGCCGACACGAAAATGCTGAACAGCACATTTGGTAGTGGACAATTAGGGAAATAAATCATTTTAAAACTTTTTCAAAGGACCTGCGTCACCATAAAATCGCAAAAATTGCAACGTATCATGTAGAAACAATTAATCCCTATCTCTGTCAGCCAGGAAAACCTTTCATAGACCGTTTCATACAAAACATTTTTGGAGTATGCTCAATCTCACTATTTGACGGTATCCACCTATATTCCGGGGCGTTTTGCATCCCAAAAAGGCAGTGGAATGTTGCCTCGGAGAACTTTTCAGAAACTTGAAATTACTAGCCTTCAAGGTTATTTGCATTTCGCTCAGAGCAGCTGAATGTTATCTATATATTGATAAACCAGTGATTTTACAGTATGCATCTGGTAAGGATCCGTCTTTTACTCTGACCTACATTGTGCCAAAGCATGTATTTTGCGGGTTAAATATACACATAGGCTATCAAACCTTCTCCTAGTCAACTTCCGGTAAACAACTTCGTCTGAGTTGTTAAAAGTCTGATTTGAATTCCCTTCAAGAGTCCATTGTGACTCTTTGGACATACCGAAGCCAGGGTCAACTACCGGCTATTTTCCACCGTGATCAACTACATTCTGAGGCAGACTGCAGAGGCGCATTGCTGAAGCATTCACATCAATGCTGGCTCCCTAATTTTTCCTCAAGATATGCAGTGAACAGACATTAAAGCGTTGTTACTCCAAACCATACGCAATCTAGTGGCAAAGTAACGCTTTCTTGAGGCTGACAATAAGCGGTAGTCAAAGCGGCCTTTCACAAACTTTTGAACAGGATAGTGCGACGAGTGCGGGAGACTTGGACTAGATAACAACTGGGAGACTGGAAATCCCTGTAAATTTGTTCACTAACCATTATTAGGACACAAATGCTGTTCATTCAGGAATACTGAAATCGTTTGCTTCGGATCACAAAAAAGTTGGCTGTATTTTCCTTTTGAGTAAAATGTACTTCTCCTGTCACATGATAGAAGGTACTTATGTGAATGTCGGTCTTCCAGCAGAACAAACAGACCTTTACGTATTTGGATGCTTTTGTAAGAAACTAACTAGATCCGACTCGTTTTGTACAACAGAACATGGTCCAGAATTACACTGTCAAAAAATACTTGGGTTGAAGCTGTTCAGTAGAGCGACTAACGTAATGTTACATCAAATCTGACAAACAACCATCCCCACCTGTCTGCATTCAAAGGTCTGTGTATTTTTAGCAAGAAATCCATGGCGTTAAAAGCAAGTACTTGAAACAATACCGATTCCAGCTTCTGGCAGCATGTACATTTTACTTCATTTTGCCTACCCTCAGCACACCTGTCTTGTAACTGGGAACTTAAATTATCTTTGGTGAATTGCCTTATTGGGTTTCATAGTAGACAAGTACTCTAGAACTTGTCAGTTGTTTACTTATAAATTCTCACTGGATGGTGAATTTTATCCAGTCTAACTTTCTCCTTGTCTACTTTCTGCAAGTGGTCCTTTTAACCCCTATGTCTACGGCCTACCGGAATAGTGCTCTTTGCGACACCGCCCGGTAACCTGTGAAATCGAGTGATTGACCGGTTCGCTTATATGGTTAATTCAGATTCAATTCTTTTGCACAGCTTCTTTAGTAAACAAACGACTGGATATCAGTCTACTTTACCTCTCCCCTGTGTTTTATGTAAGAAATTCACCGATTGGGGTGCACGAAAATATGTTCGGCGTGCACACGAGTCAAAGTGCGCAACAGAAGAACATTTTCAGACAATTTTAGCATTAGATACTAATGGATTCAATTATAGAGCATATAAGTCAGTGTCAGAACTAAATCACCACCAATCTCAATGTGATTTTTCTAAACTCACATATACATCACGCAGAAACGCAAATGCTCCTGTGAGAAGGACAAAACTATCGAAAGACTTTTCAAATAAATTTGGATAATGTCTTTGAAATGGTGCAAACAAACAGCCGGATCAATAATTATGTACACAGTAAAACGTTCAAGTTACTCCTCAGCAATAAAGGGCTCTACGACTTCGTCGAGAACGCAGTGCGCATGAATTAAAGATACAAACTGATTCACAGCGCTTCTGACATTTTGGCCTAAAATTTCGGAAAGCTGACCGACGTGGGTTTGAAAAAAATGGTTATACACCGTCAGACTACTCTTTGTTGGGTTCTCCGAAGGCTAATATTTAAAAAAAGCAGGCCAAAGTAATCGCATTGATTGAGAACCTTCCCACTGGATGCAAAAGCAGATCCGAGACGGTAACATACTCTGATTAAGTGTTGAAGTTAAAGCGTATTTATCCTTAATCAGTGAAAGTAAATAAATGAATTTATATCATTTGTCATGTTCTGGTTTATTTTGGAGTGACCCAACGGTGTCTCTAAATTCCAAGTACAACTATTCGGCTATTTAGACTCAAATGTGGTCAAATTCTGGATGATCTCATTTGGCATGGAATGTACAAGCCCATGAAGAAACGAGTGAGTTAGAGAGCTCTTGTCGTTGTGAGCAAATCTTCAGCGGTGGTGTGGCACGGGATACCAGAGTACGCATTATAAAAAACCCCATCCCTTTCAGCTTTTGCCATTTTTGGCTTCTCACAAGCACCTGACTGAAATTCAAGTGGGGTAAACTTACGCACTCAGTAAAAGCAGTTTTGATTACGAATATGAACAACGAACTGAGACTTTTGAATTCCATGATACGAATGAGCACCCCTGCCTCCGTAGCAAAACAGTGTTCTACTTTGTACCATGTAGCGAGGAAGCGTTGAGTGCGCGAGTGCCAACAACTGTAGCAGCAATGAAATCTAAGCACGTTTTAGTGGTCGCGCATGGCCGACTCTCAGATAACAAATACAGTGCTGTTTTCTGTTGCGGAGTATTCATGATAGAAAGTTCGCGAACGATAGGCTACAGCAGGGCAACGCAGAATAAAACCGGCCTAACGAATTAAATCAAGATTTTAGAGACATAGTTGTTTGCCAACTTGCTGTTCACCTTGTACACAGCTTGGAGAACAATGGACTGTAACACGAACACGATCCAAGCGGCAAGTGTGCTGTCAGTTTCCGACCGCAATTCCTTTTTTTGTCCCCTGACCTTATATCTTACATGCTTGCAAAAGGGATTGGATCAAATCCACTGTCGGCATAGCTCTCCCAAGCGATGCTAAGATGTGCTTGGTCTGTTGGTTTGCACGTCATTCTCCGTCAAAACCTTGAGCTGCATTCTAATAAACCCTCACCCTCTTTTCTTCGACTCCACTTTCTATTAGGATGCTCACTCCCTGTTGTAACGCAGCAGCTAAGACTAACTATCTACTATATATCCATTGCTGGGAATGATAAGGATGCTATTTAGCTGTCACTTAGCTGTTCTGTATTTCCGAACCACCTGACACCAAATCATTGATCAAGTGTCTAAGTTGAGACAATATCTGTGAAAACGGTGCGTTAGTATTCAAGAATAATCCGAGGAATGTGATTATCCTCATGTGGCGTGCGATGCTGACACGCAGGAAAATTTGCTGGATGTTTATCCGGAGTTATTGGATCAAACTAGTGCAGTGTCTCGACAACGAGTTTGATTTTACCAGATGCACCTAGCTGAAATCTACTGGGTGGGTTACAGCAGTATAAAAACAAGAACAAATTTACATTTAGTGTCTTGCGTAATGACTATCCTTTGCTTTGAATGATGAAGTCAAATATGCCAGACTGAAAACCTATTCCAGCTAGAGAAGATTTACAGACTCAGGTTTCGTCTGAAGAAATTTTCATCATTCTATGGTACTCTGTGAATGACAGGTAGACACACAAGTAAAACTATAATGTTCTGTTAAAAACGTTTGCAGCCAAAGAGTCAAAGATAGTTCTGTATAAATAGGAACCGATTATACTACAGCACAAATAGCTGAAAATATCATGGACGAAAGATTTAGATAAGATCTGGGCTCACCAGGTCGCCATTTCGCCACCCACGTTCACTTCACCATAGATATAGCAGACAATTTTGATCAATACATTTGGAACAAGACAATGTGATGAGCTCAAAGAACACCAAAACCCATACGACTTCATTAAGTAATTTCTAACGATTCGATAACGCGTATACTATTTTGATAGCTTGTGGTTTTGTAAAAATTACGCACTGGGATATACTTGCTCAAAACTACATTAATCCTTTTTTCGAGGGTTTTATCCAAGCAAGGTATTCTTTTCGCCACAGCAAAAGAAAGGGTATTTTAATTTCAATGGAAAAAAGAAATCTATAATTTGTTCTCATTTTTATGGTGAAATTCACATTGTTTTGTTGACGTTTTCAAAACCAACACTGTATTTCGGAAACAATCCATGACTGTTGTTTTGTTATCATCAAAACACTACTAGGCCATGTTCGGTGTTTTAGGTTCGGTTGCATAACTTCAGAGAACCAAACGTAGCTTTACTTTGCCTCTGTCCATTGTTAGAATTTTCAGTGAACATGCTAAAAGCCTTCCACTCGTTCAAATTAGCACGCAAAATGGGTGGTTACGAGCCTATTCTATGTGTGAGTGGGACGCAATGCATAGACCATTCGGAAACCTGATCAGTATTAGTTAAAGGAGTCTGTTCACTATTGGTTTATGGCAGACAACAGCCACTCACCTTTTTCATGTGCTTTCACATCCGTTACAACACGAACCTCGCGGATGTTGCGAATAATTGTTCCCAAATCGAGCAAGATCCAATGGAACCCCTGTGTGTCAGGCAGCTGATCATCGGTCGAAAAGCAGGTTGGAGCCGGTTCGTAAAAGTCGGCGTCTACGGCGTACTCGGGTTTGGTGCCCAGGGCAACGGAACTGGAGTACACTTGTGCATTGTATATATTTGGGGAATATAAATCTGCAAAAAAGAAGCGAAAGTGCGCAAGGTTAGACAGTTTGGGATAGTCGTCGCAAGCAAATATATCGTGTCGTTTCCTTTCAAGTCTGGATCAGATGGTATTTTTCTCTGATTATATATATACTCTGAGATTTTAGAGTCGGTGGTTATTGAGGAGTGCGTCAGTTTCCGTCTGGAATACAAAGTAGTTTCCGAAACGATAAAAACATGTTTACTATTATATAAGAAGTGAGTATATAGAATGGTATTTTCAAAATGAAACCACTCTACTGATACAGTATGGAAAACGTGCCCCACAACAATTGTTGACGGAATACTACGGCCGAAGTAATCCTCTGGTCACGTTCAAAACTAATCGCTGACAGCCCAAAATAAAGCAGTAGCTATTTGGTTCATTTAGCCGGTATCCAACAAAACCAACAAACCAACAGAACCCACTCGATAACAACCGGTCCCACTCAACGTCATAAGAATGAAATCCCTTTTATCAGCGTTTCCAGCTATAAAAAACATTGCCGGTATAGAGTGGTCCAGGGTAGTATGAAAACTTCGGAGATATTGGTGAACTACCAGATCCATAAATCCTACATTGAAGCTAATACAAAATGCATAAAAAAATTCATACTGATTACTTTTACATTCCACCAAAATTACTTATACTTCAGATGTAATTCCGCCCCCCAACTTCAGAAGTTGGCGGTCTCGATCGTGCACAGAATCGGTTGGCATACTGAGCGTGATCACCTAGATATATTCCTGCAACTGGTTTGGTTAAAGAGGGCTTTTTTAATGAAGCCACAGCTAGCAGCTAGCAACATGTTCGGATACCTGAAAAAAATGGATTAGATTACTCCAAACCATTCGCAATCCAAAGCCAAGTCTGTTTGTTTACTTGACTCCGAAATTATCGGTCCAACCATTCACCCGACAGTTTATCTGATAAATTGATTTGATAGAGAACCAACCAAAGCTTTAATAATTCGTCGGCTCTATTTTCTAACCACGTGCAACTTCCGAAATCTACTGCTTTAGGAATTGATGGATATGCCCAACAATGAACACGAATTTCTTTCGTTTTAAAGGTCATCAAAAGGAGAATTCAGAACGACCGCAGATGTTTGTCAATAAAATACGAGGTGATTCTTGGACGTCGTGAAATGTCCGCGAAATTTTCTAGGGCTCTAATACCCTGCTTCGTGATTCACAAAAACCACTTAGTCTTCAGATTAACGCCATTCACTTGTTTCTGCATCCGGTCTGTAAATGCATGACAGATGAAGCTAATTCAGATATTAGTAGGATGTCAGAAACATCCCCTAATAGATACTTTTTGGTTATGGTTTTTGGAGGCTGAGATGGAAGCTAAAGCGTTTCCGGTTCACCATAACACATTAGGTGTTGGCTGGTACAGTAATGAGCTGGAACCGTTAAACCTGATTCAAAGCTTGGTCCATTCAAAATAGATTAGATACCTTTTGTATGCTTTCAGCCATATTCCGTCAAAGAAAAGGCTTTTACAGAACAGATCATCACGCAGCCGTTTTACATCAGAGCCATTACTATAAGGCTAAGCGCTTTAGGTAAAACTGTATACGTACAATTTACAGAAGGTGTCTGGATACTCTATTTTGTCACTACAATAAAGTCCCTTTTTGTGAGCGTTTCATTTGGTCGCAAGTAATCCATTAGTAGCACTATCTATCACCGCGCGCCACACATTTAGTTAGGCAACATGACTTACTCATAGGATACTCATAATAACTTATTTGCACCCCATTTCGGAGGTCTAGCTAACTTGCTCTCAGACTTCATCAAGTACATATTTCCGCTCGCTATCCACCCCTTCAACTTAATGCTTAATAAAGCCGTAATTGTATTTGTAAGTGAACGCAACTCCTTATGGCTTAGTTTGCTGAAATTTTCGGCAAGATAACTTGACAGTTTATTATATTGCGCTCCAAAATATATATGTGTTATATTTAGTTATATTTTTTGTTATGATTTTTTGTTGTATTTAGTTCTCTTGTTTTAGCTTTTTGACTTAGTTTTCGGGATAGGTGGGATATCATTTTAAGAAAACATATAGGTTTGGTTTGGTTTCTTGATAAGATCTGTTAGTTTGGCATAAAATACGTGTTTTGAACTGCAATCTTTTATTCTGACATATTTTGTAGGGCAGGCCACTATGTCTGCTTCAGGGTTCCTTAGTCTGGATTGAACAAGCCGCTTTATACATTAGGTTTCTAGGAGTTGCATCCACAGACTTAAGATGCTGCCAAGCTCGGGGGACAAATCAACTGTCATCTGATCAAACACCAGTAAATACACCCGAGCTACATATGCAACGGTGGATACTACTGATTGGGGCCTGCGAATAGTATGTTTGCTCGTAAATTCGCTTCGCATCTTTTGAAAAAAGAGATCTACTACGAAATTTGTGGAGCCGCATTTGCTCGCATTTGAGCAACAGTCAATGAATATTGAGTAAAGTTCATGAAGACGCGTTAAAGGAGATGGACATTCAGTTTTTGTAAGCAAGATGCGTATGAGAGTTTTGCTTTACTGCCCAATAGTCTGCAACTGTTCAGTTGACGTTTTCTAATAAATGACCCCGCAGCGAAGACTTTCTTCCTTTCACTTATGGTTCGGCAGTGATGACCTTTGTAACTACTAACGCCTCAGAGACGGCCGCGTCCATTTAGTGACTCAAGTGTTCTCAGGTATCAACCGGTAGGCAACGATGCCAATTCGGGGCAAATGAAAATTATCTTGACCGATGGATCGTGCGACAGAGTTGCATACAGACTAAATGCTTCGATATTTCACCCCATGTACAACCACACCTAAACTACTGTCCAAATTTGCTGACATGCAACCGCATTTTTAATAATTTTATGATTGGAAGTGACAATATTCATGCTACACACGGACAAGGTTTCTCTGTTGTTCATTTTTATGTCGAGGCAAGGGGAGGTGATAAAATTTATTGAAGCAGACAGAATATGTACAAATCATGGCAGAAACTCAGCATACTACGTTGTTGACAGTTACCACATTTCTAAAACGGGTGTACCAAGTACCCGAAGGCAGATCCTGAATGAAGACGTTCTAAGCCCCTAACAGCCAATCTATGTAGTCTCTTCCGTCTGTCTAGAGCACTACTAATGATTCTATATGTTAATTCAAGCATGTGCCAATAATGGCAACTTCCTGTTTACGACAAACCTTGATTACCATAAGATATGTGATCTACAGCTGCTCGATAAGCATTTACATAAGGAGAGAACTATCAGAGGTGTTTTAACTCTGATACCAAGGAGAGATTACCTTCTTTGTTCATCTATTGTAAGCAATACAACTAGCGCTAGGACGAAAAATCATAGTTGATCCCATTTTACAAAATGACAAAATAACTGTCAAAAAACATTCACAAGTTTTCAACGGTAAAACGCTGCCGGAATAATAAACACAAAATTTAAGAGATGGCTGTCAACGGTGGACCATTTCTAGAAACCAGCTTTTTCTACGTGAGAGAGATCAGTTGGGAAATGTGCAAGCAGCTATTGAAAATTAAATTTCCTAATGAGTTTGCCACCGATGAGTTTTCTGGAGCAATTGTGATTGGTCCAATACAATCCTTCATTGCACAATGAATAGAATGCATTTTCAAAAAGAATTTTATCCAAATTTAGTTGTCTTAATCAAATGGTTTTCTAGTCCACATAGTGCTTGCGATTTGTCAAAAAATCGATTCCCGTGTTCACATGCTAGCATGACAACAACCATTGTCACCATTATTATTGTGGGAATCAGTTAAAAATTGTAGTATCCTGTCCCTAATAGCTCCGTTAACCCGTTTATCTTTATCCTTCTGGTACGCCCGACCATTTGTAGTTGTCAGGCCATGTGAAATTGTTACCTAAGTCCTGCGACATTTTGAAGTTAAACATTGCTGCAATCCATAAATCAGAGAGGAATTTATATGAGAGTGACTGAGTCTTTCTGTTCCACGACGTAGACCTGCAACACAAAACTTGCGTTGTAAACATACGCTTTCAGGAAGAAAACCGTGCTTTCATCCGAACTGTTCAAAATGGGACTCGTTAAAAAGCTTTTTTTGTGACTGATGTGCATTTTGGAAACAAGTTCTTTAGCATCTGACTAAGTATTGGCCCAACACATGGTCACTAAGTGGAGAATAATGGGGATTTATTGTTTGTAACCGATGGTTTTTCGTTCGCCATCTGAAATTATTTACTGGTATATTCCTACAACACTCAGAACACTCGACTTCCATCTATTTACTCACACTCGTTCATTATTGTAATACTTAATCGGGGTACTTTCTTGGCTTTCTTCCTTGAAGCAACTCTAATTTATTGGATTGAAAGAGCGACAAAGAAAGAGAGTCTTCGTTTTTCGGCTTTATCTAAGTTGTTGGTAGGTACCTGGGGACAAGACAGTGTTTCAGGGAAATGGTTCAAGCGTGTCCAAAGATGATGCCCAAACCGAATGTTTCAACCATAGGAGTATAATTCACGCAGCCTTATTCAAAGAGCTACTGGCTTTTATTAAATTGCGAGACCTGTATTCGACCCTCAAGACGTAGTTTCGTGTAAATCAAATAGAAGTTCAACCAGTCGTAGGTCGCTCTGATTCAAAGAGCTACTGGCTTTTATTAAATTGAGAGACCTGTATTCGACCCTCAAGACGTAATTTCGTGTAAATCAAACTGAAGTTCAACCAGTCGTAGGTCGCTCTGGTCACATCTTCACACGACGTCTATATTTTGAGCAACGTCACACCTACTGCCGACCAACGTTCGTGGTTTTATTAGACTTTTAACGAGCCGTCAGCAGCATGGACAGATGAGCTCGCCAGAAAAAATTGTGCTTGATTTCCGTAAACAATCTACAGCCTACCTATGATGTTCGAAACCTCCTTACAACTTAAGGGGTTTGTCATATTTGCCTGGTTTAATCATTTTTGTTCGGTTCAGT